ATATAAAAACTAATAAATAAAATTATTAACGTATTAACTATAATCTTGATAAAAAATTATTTCGATATTTGAGATAATTCGGTTACCCGAACCGAGTATATAATTAATTATATTTATTTTTAATTTGACCTTGGACAATCGTTCGGTTGGTCAGAAATGCACAATACAGACCGACACCGTGCACTATAGTGTTGGACGTATTGCACTTTAATATCTGTTAGGTTGCATAATATATTTTTTGTACGTATTTACTAACTTTTTTAATAAAAAAATAATATAAAAATATTAATTAAAAAAATATAAAATATTATGAAATTTTAAATTGAATGACCATACATATGTTAAAATTATTTATCAACATTCTATATTTACTATATTTTTATTAAATTTATTAAGTAAAATATAGAATTAAACATTATTTGTTTTCCCATGAATTGCTCAAATAAACAAGCATCACCTCACTATTTTAATTACAAATTTTTAAAATTACAGATTAGCCCCTAATTTATCTAATTTACATAAAAAAAAACCCCACAAATCACAAGTGACGGGAATGGATCTCAATCATGAACATCTTTTTTTTCCCGGCCGTCCATATACCTTCAGCCCACCGCCGGCGTCACTTCGCAAACAACACGCAGCCACCGTCGGACGGTCGTCGCCGTCGCGTCACTCCTCAGTCCGCCGCTTCATAGCATCGTCAATCTCAGCAGGCGCGACTCTTCGGCTTGCTCCGCCGCCGGCTCACCGCGTCGTCTCTGTCAGTCGGCTCGATGCCTCGTCTCCGTCCACAAGCACATATCTTCGTCTCCGTCTGTCAGCGCGTAGGAACGCCGTCGTCCCACCGCCGCGTCGCTTCGGTTCCGTCCACCGCCGTGTCGCATCACCTCCGTCGGCCTCCTTGTCATCTCGCCTTCGTCAGCCGCTGTGTGTGTGTGCAAGTGTGTATGTGTGTGTGTGTGTGTGTGTGTGTGTGTGTGTGTGTGTGTGTGCAAAGGTTTGTGTGTGTGTTGCTGCGTGTGGGTAAAAATTATGCAGGTGTGTGTTATTGTGTGAGAGAGAGTGAGAGGTTGTTAATGAATGGGTGGGCCCCACGTTGTGTGGTATGGTGTGGTGTGAATGATTGTTTTAATGTTTAATGACAATTTTGTCCTTATTTATTGGTCCAATGTTTACATTTGACCAAATATTGAACACTTATTTACAAAACTGCCACTCATGTTTGACTCTCATGTTTAATATTTGACTTGATCAAGACCATTGATATGTTGGATCCAATGATCCAGACTCATTCTTATTTCTTTCACTAGGGATCATTCTCATATGATCCCTTCTCTATATATATATATATATATATATACATATATATATATATAGGAAAGAGTTCAAATGAGAACTTCTCCCTAGTGTAAGAACTAAGAACTCATCTCATTCCTTATATAAGCTATTATAAATGGTTGTGTTGAATTTAATATATTAGAATAATTTGATTAAAATGCTTTAAATAATGGATATGGAATTTTTGTCTAACTATGGTAAGTTGTTTAATAGGGAAAAGAATCCATTATACTACTACAATTAAACCTTCCTATCCATTATATCAATCTTTTACGTAACCAATGTTATATCTACTTTATTTATTTATTTGTGCTTTCACATAATTTTAAGGTAAATTTTTATTTGTCACAAATAATTTTCCTACTTTTTTTTTTTAATTTATTTGTGCGTTCACATAATTAAAAATGAGAACATGAAGTGATTATTAACTGTAAGACTAAATATAATTAGCATAATATGATATGCATAAAAGCACTGTTGTAGGGTAGTTTATTATTATTATTATTATTATTATTATTATTATTATTATTATTATTATTATTATTATTATTATTATTATTGTTATTATTTATTTTCTTTTAATT